AATCTTGATTAGTACTGAGCCACTTGTCATCCCCATTGTCATACTTTCCGATAACCTTTAAGGCAATGCGTTTCCAGCCGCATGGCATTTGATACAAAACACCTCCGCGAAAATATTGCTTTCCTTTATCATCAATGTTTGTAAAATCATAACCATAACTTGGGTCCAAGACGTCGCTACCCAAATGACCAATTATATGTCCACCACCGCGAAGATTCAAACCAAAATGAAAAACGACTTCTTTTGGAATTTTGTAATCTGAGAGTGTTCTAGAGTGTTCTAACTTTATGCCAGCAAAAATCAAACGCTGTTGATCTGGTGGGATACCTTCTTTGAGTTGAATCGCTTGTTTTACCAGATAAATGATAAGGTCTGGTTTGACTTTTATGGTTATAGTCTTGCCAGTAAGCGTCTTGACAAAAAGTTGGTAGGATTCTTGAGATGTGTTTTTTAGAATTACCATCGAAAGTATTTTTAATGGTATAAGCTCCTAGATCATCCCCCAAAAGACTGCATTGGTGAAGCGAAAATATGTCAACCTTTTGATAAATAGCGCCATTGGGTTTCTCATGAAGTTTATTCTCTGAAACAAATTTATGACCAGGTAATAAGGCTGTGAATGCAGCTTTAAGAAGGTCGAGGTTTGACATCTTCGATGAGTTTATGGATGTTAATTGTACGGTGAATTAGATTATTGATTTAAATAACCTTGACGAAAAAAAATATTACTATTTCGCAAAACCGTTTTATGCAACTAAACGGGTTTCTAATTCAATTCCATATGTAGATACAATAAAGATGTGAAATCAAAAAAACTAGTTTGGACTAGGGGGGGAAACCATAATTGGAAACAATCAAAATCCCGAAAATAAAGCAGAATATGCGATTTACAGTAGGATGAAGTATATGAATGAAAAATAAATCAAAGAAATAAAACGTACAAAAAAGAAATAAAGCATAAAAATAAAAGAAAAAAGCGTCTTCATGGCATGTCTTTATTGAGACACAAATAAATACCTACAATATTACATTGACTCTCACATGACAACTAATTTGTTATTATATTATTAGTCAAAGAACTATATTATTTAAAAAATATGATTTTACTAAGCTAGTTTGAACTAAACAAAATAAAGTCTAAGCTAAATATCTAAGTCAGATTAGGAGATACTTTTTTTTTTTTTTTTTAACACTGGCTTGGCCTGCTTTATTTGAATTAAGTAGAAATTATGAATATTATTCAAGCGACTACTTTTGTTTATCAAATAAAACTTGATGAAGGAGGAATATAAGGCATTCGAATATTATCAAAAATCTGCTGAGATGGATCACTTAAGTGGGACGTATAATGTTGGTTGTAGTTATGAATATGGAACTCGAAAAGGATGAACATAAGGCATTCGAATATTTTCAAAAATCTGCTAAGATGGGCTTTGTGTATGGAATATATAATGTCGGATACTTCTACGATAACGGAATTGGAGTTGAAAAGGATGAACATAAGGCATTCGAATATTATCAAAAATTTGCTAATATGGGTGAAGCTGAGGGAATGTATAAAGTTGGTTTTAGCTATAGAAATGGAATAGGAGTAATAAGAGATCTAAAAAAAGCAAGCTATTGGTTTATGAAGTAAGCATTTTTTTTAGATTATTTTTTGTTTCTTAATGACTTCACCGAAAATAACATTCTTAAATAATAAATTAGATACGTGAACTCATCTTCAGGTAACATTCATATAAATGATTCAAATTATGTCAATTTATTAAAATATCTTACATATTATTTAGTAACGAACGAATGAATACGCGAGAATAATGATATTTGCGTCAGTTTAAAGGAACTACTGGCTGAAAATAAATATCCATTATTATGGATTCCTTATGATACCTTAATAATATCAAGGAGATCGGGAAAGGTGGATTCGCAACAGTATTTAGTGCATTCTGGATTAATAGGAAACGAAATATTAAAATAAAAGTCGCACTCAAGATA